GGCTCCGCCGGGCCGGTGTCTCCCCCTGGTGGCGGCGGGAGGAACCGCCCGGTTCGGGTCAGGGTCACCCGGGGACGTTACACATTGACTCTTCTCCTTAGTTGTTGGGTTTCTGTCACCTCAGCAGAGACACCTCCAACCCGCCCAGGTTGTTCCAAGCCCTCGAACACTTCCAGGGATGGGGCTGCTCTGGGCAACCTGGGCTTTCACCTGCTCAGTGAAGAATTCCTTCCTAATTTCTCATCTAAATCTACCCTGTTCCAGCTTAGAATTACTCTCCCTGGAGCCTTCTCTTCTCCAGGCTGAACAACCCCAACCCTCTCAGCCTGTCTTCATAGGAGACACTTTCTACCCCTCTGACCATTTTTGTCCCACTGGACCAGCTCCATGTCTTTCCCATGCTGAGGACCCCAGAGGTGGACACAGCACTGCAGAGGAGGTCCCAAAAAGAGCAGAGGGGTAGAATCACCCCCCTGGACCTGCTGGTGCTGCAACCCAGGATGCCCTTGGCTTTCTTTTTTTTTATGGTTGATCTAATCCATAAACTAAGAGCATCAAGGATGTTGCTCAAAGGCAGCCTCTGCAAAAGCACTCGGGCAACAGCTGGAAGAAAACCATCTTTGACAACTAAGAAGGGTTCAGGCAGGTATTAAACTGCATTTTGCCTTTGCTTCCAAGCACAGGGATGTGTTAAAACCCTGAACCCTCCCTCAGCCACTGCAGGTAGTAGGGCTGGAACATCTGCCACTGAGGATCCAACCAGGGCCTGGCTAAAATCCTGCATCCTCTCCCTCAGCTGAGAACCACCAGCACACAGCTAGAAGAAACAGTCTCCACGAGTGGGTATCTGACTCACCCCTCAGCAAGACTGCTCCCCCAGCAGTGGCTCTCCACCTCCTTCCCACAGGCTCCCCGAGCTCCAGCACGGATCCTTACCCCAGAGGGCGACCCCATCATCAGGTCCCTGCTTTGATTCACTGGCCAATCCACTCCCAGCCCACACACATTGACATCTGCAGCCAGAACCTCAGTTATCTTCCTGAATATAAGCTTTCCCTTTTCCCTCCTTAGCCCTTCTCCTTATGATATCCTGGGCTAACCTGTCCCGTCGCCACGGGACATGCTGGAACTGTTCTGGAGCTCTGGGAGTGTTTCCCACCATCCTGATCTCCTTCCAGGGACAACTGCAACGAGCTCCTCAACCAGGTGGTTTACTCCAAAGCTGCATGAAAAGCAAGCAGAAGATGACTTGGAGTAACTTCAATGCTAGTGGGATGCCTGCTCTATGGCAGGCTCTCAGTCTTCCCTGGAAGAATTTTTAACAGTGTGGCAGCACCTAGGAATTTTACAACATCCATGTTTCTCCCACCATCCACATTAACTCCTCTCTCCACCTTTGAGATGCTGCCCATTTTTTCTTGTTGGAGCATTCTTGGCCCAAACCAAAACCATCAGGTTTTTGTAGTTTCAAAATCACAGCTGAGTGAGCTTCTCTTAAAAACTTGTATAAAAACCATCCAGGGGCAGGTCAGTCCCTTCTCGTTTTGTTTTGTTGACAGCAGATTTAATAGAGCAAGGACCTGTAGTATTTCTTTGAAGAAAATACTCCAGGTCTTATTTATCCCATGTCAGCCCTGTTCCTTCCCAGATGTCACTGATTTGCAAGATGACAGAATTGTTCTGAGAGATGATGCTCCGTGCACAGCTCATTTTAGCTGCTCTTCAGATAGTACAATTAGGTGCTTGGTGAGCATAAAAGGATTTCAGTTATCAGGCAGATAAAGTTACTTTATTCATTTTTAGTCATACAAACAAGCAGAAGTGTCAGTGCACTGAGATACAAACAACATTTCCCCACATCACATAAATAGTAGATTTTCAGTTGTTCTGATAATTTTTACAGACACACAATTTTTATCCTCTTAATAAAATAGGTGCACGGTTCATTTTTCCTTTTTCTCATTCTCTTCCTCTTCCTTCCATTTCTCCAGATAACAGTTAAGAATGTCGTTTAGCTGCTGCTCACACTGGCTTACATGTTGCAGTCCATTTTCCCATCCTAAAAGCAGCAACAAACAGGATCGTTACATTTCCCTTTACAGCATCCAGCGTGGAATTAGGCTGTGCTGGTGAGAAGGGCCATTTCCCTAAGCCCATCCAGTGGCCATAATATTTCTACTTCAAAAATGGTTCTTCTTCAGATGCCTCCTTTGATGTCAGCCAAGTAGGTAAACAAAATCATTACTCTTTTGGCACCTGCTCTTGCAGAGATCTGTTGCCTCACAGCCTGAGAGCTCCCCTTGTTGTATGTGCTAAGGGAAGATTCTCCTGCAGGAGAAACTACGACCTGTCTTTCCAGAGCACACGGATCTCAGAGAGTGAAGAGAGACACAGAACTAAGAGGCTGCTCAGGCCTTTTAAACACCTTGGAGCAAAGTTGCAAAGGGTGAAGACAGGTTTTTTGGGTTGCTTTTTTTTTTTTAAAAACAGGAATAGCTTTCAAAATATGTCAACACTCAGTTGCAGTAAAGGTCACAGCAAATGTGTGGAACCTATAAAGAAACTGATTTTCAAAACTGTATTTCTCTCTGTGACCCAAGAAAACAAACACATGTCACTCACAAGACAGTGACCTGGAAACAAAGCAATCAGGAATCACTTGGTAGAGTTCACACATCTCCAGTAGCTTTGTTTTTTGGTTTGGTTTGGTTTTTTTTCTAGCAGTTCAAAATTTATCTTCCAAAACCAAGAAGCCCTAATTGCAGGAAGACACTACACATTTTTATTTCCTTTCTTTAACCACTGTCTATTCAGAGATGCTGCTGTATAGAAGAATTTGTTTGTAACTTGCCTGCACCTACTACATAAAGCAACCTGGGAAAGGACTAGAAATGCAATAAAAGGTTTCAGGTCTCCTTATCAGCCTGCTCTTTGTGTATTGTTCTGATGGCACCACAAGAAGAAAAAGAAACCCCATTACTGGGTAGGTTAAAGTATATTGTATTTTCAAGCATAAAACCAGTTTGCAGATAAAACTGCAAACATTCAGTTTGCACACCTGGAAATACTTGTGTTTCCCTGCAGGATGTATTCTAGATGTAATAAATATACTGTTTTGTATAGCATGTATATATACAGCATAATATATAGTGTATTATACACTGTAATTCATTGTACAGTTTAGTTAAAGAAGATGAGCTGTATCACAAGATCACAGAATCTTAGGGGTGGGAAGGGACCTGGAAAGATCACCCAGCCCAACTCCCCTGCCAGAGAAGGGTCACCCAGAGCACATCACACAGGAACGTGTCCAGGGGGGTTTGAATGTCTCCAGAGAAGGAGACTCCACAGCCTCTCTGGGCAGCCTGGCCCAGGGCTCTGTCACTCTCACAGGAAAGTTCTTCCTGATATTCACGTGGAACCTCCTGTGCTCCAGTTTGAACCCACTGCCCCTTGTCCTGTCACTGGACATCACTGAACGAAGCCTGGCTCTGTCCTCCTGACACTCACCCTTTACATATTTACAAACACTGATGAGGTCACCCCTCAGTCTCTTCCAAGCTCAAGAGACCCAGCTCCCTCAGCCTTTCCTCATCAGGGAGATGTTCCACTCCATCATCTCTGTGGCTCTGCCCTGGGCTCTTTCAAGCAGTTCCCTGTCCTTCAGGAACTGAGGGGCCCAGAACTGGACACAATATTCCAGATGCAGCCTCGCCAAGGCAGAACAGAGGGGGAGGAGAACCTCTCTTGACCACCCCCTTTCTAATGCACCCTAGGATGCCATTGGCCTTCTTGGCCACAAGGGCACATTGCTGGCTCATGGTCATCCTCCTGCCCACCAGGACCCCCAGGTCCCTTTCACCTACACTGCTCTCCAGCAGCTCAGCCCCCAACCTGTACTGGCACACAGGGTCATTCTTCCCCAGATGCAAGATTCTACCACTTGCCCTTGTTGAATTACAAGATGGTTTAAAAAATTCAGGAAAAGGACAGATTACCTTTGCAGTGATGAATCACTCTTCCCCACAGTCTGTTCCTACTCAAGCAGGGCAGATTTCCAACAATCAACAAATGCCTCTTGGCTCTCGTCAGCGCAACATTCACTCTCTTTTCCGAGTCTATGAAGCCAATTTGCCTTGTTCTCACACAGGACAAGACGATGATCTCCTTCTCAGCTCCTTGGAAGGCATCTACAGTGGACACCTGGAGAGCTTTGGTGTCAAATGCCTCGGAGTGCACACTGCTGAGCAGGTTCTGGATCTGTAGGCAGATGGACATGGATGGTGAGGAATTCTGCTGCTCGTCTTGAGCAGACACATTCAACAAGTCTGAGCCCACACAACCAAGACACTAGAGAGTGCAGTGGCAGGAAAACCTCAGGTCATCACAGGAGAATCATCACCATGAACCTCTATTTGACAAAACAAGGGTGCAATCAGTGTGGCAACCAGGGCTTTTTGCTTACTAACTACAGCCTGGGATGATGGGTGAGGTCCAGCTCCAGCCTTGCCAAGCAGGTGATGGAGCCTCTGTCACCTGTCCTTGTCACACTGACTTGTTTGTAACAGCCCCCAAGTCATCTATGATAATTATGAACTAGTCAATTGGCCAGTTTTCTGAGTACACACATGGAATGACAACAAACAGAATGTTTTTTAATCATATGTTTGAACCTTTTGACTAATTTTAGAGGGGAAAGAAACCCAATAGATTTGTAGATTTATTTTTTTAATAATAAAGAGAAATTATGGCAAACTGTAGTGTACTTATCCAGCATTATCTCCTTACTTCTAGTGGGCTCTTCCTAGTTGAAATGGAGCCTATGCTTAGAATAAACAAACACACTTCAGAAAGCTGTTTTATTGATGAGACATGACACAAACCTTACACATCTGTGATTTATAAAGAGTAATCACACCAATTGCAGAGCTTTCTATTCCACTTGCAATCAGAGACTGGATGAGCTTGACTGTAAAATGAACTTCTGCCATGTTGTAAAAGCTGTTGTCTCTTTCAATCTGGAAATAGGGAAGATTTCCAATTTAGCTGTCAGAAACAGCAGAATGCAAGCAGAATGGAGGAAAAAAACTACAAAATCAGCTTTTTATATAAGAATTATTTAAAAACTTACTTGTTCTACCCCGTTAACACTATAAAAACATAGTGTTGGAAGCCAATCCAATAAAGGACTCCTGTCTTCCTCAGAAACACCATCTATCAGATTTCCTTCATAGAACAGCTCGTTGGCTATGGAACTGATAGCAGGGTGACACCTGTACTGTGTCCGAAGGAGTATGGCTTTATGGCCCTAAAGAGTGATCACACAGAAACTGTGACTAGGAAAAAGAGGGATAAAATATTTTACAATGCCAGCTAGGTCAAACAAGAAATCAGTGCAAACAGTTCCTGCACTAAGCTGGCTTAACCTTCATACATTTCATCTCAACAAAAGTTAAAACAAGTACTGCAGCCCCTGATTCTTCTACCTGGGTTGAAAACTGCACAAGAAGATGAGGCAGAACCTGTCTGTTTTGTTTTATTTTTTTTCAATCCATTCTCCTTTTACATTTACATTTGTTACACTTAAAATTTCCCTGCACTGGGAAAATAACATTTCCAGAGAAATACACTAGAATGGAATCTGCTTAATTAAAAGGCTGATCCCTCTGAGATCTAAGCCAGAATTCTTCTAATGACTTCAGTGGACTGGCCATTTTGCCCTCCAAAGCTGTGGTTAGCAGAACATACCATTAAGCAGAGCCTGTCAAAGAGGGTCTGTTCCAATCCCTTCTCATGAACACTCTCAGATCCTTGGATAGTTGGTGGTAATTGCTTCGGGTCTCCAACAAGGACAAGCTTTTCACACTGAAACCTTAAGAAGAAGGTTTAAAAAAACAAGGAAAGGTATGTCAAACTATTAATAATGGAACATGTGTTGTGTTTTATGTATGATGGATGGGTTTCCATCAGGCTTCCTTCTCCATCACCCTCTTTCTGCAGTTAAAATAACGTTATAACTCAAGGAGGGCACCTAAAAGCAGGTCTCAATTTAAAATCACTCTTCTTGCTTTCTAAGATGAGACCCCAGAGTTGGTGTTCTTAAAAAGATGTGCAAGTTTAGCAGTTATCTGAGGATGTGCCACTGCTAACTTAAAGTTCTTCCTCCTCTGAAACCCCTGAAGCAGGAAGGCTGTACCTTGCAATAGGCAGGAGAGAAGCAGGTTCAGTCATCTGGCTGCACTCATCCAGCATCACTACGGGGAACTTCAGAGCGTTCAGACATGGGAACGGGCAGGCAGCACAGGTGGCCCCAACCACTTTTACCTGGGTTGTTAGTGAGGGGAAAAGGGGGAGACAGAAAAATTAAGGTCACTTAACAGTTCATCTCTGCATAGTCCATAGCTAGCTTCAGCAGCAGAATACACCTAAATTAATGTCAGTGGTTCCACATGCTGTGCATACTCTCTGAGTCTCAAAAGTGATATTCTAGTTTCCAGTAAAGAATTACATTCTAATTTCTAGCCAAAAGAACTGTATGCACACAGAGAAGTTACCATTTCTTACAGTTGGGGTGTTTATATGTTAGAATCATTCACAGATTCATTTAAGACCAGATCTGGTCTGGTAGAGAGGGAGTTCAGATGACACGATCCTTTTCTGAGCTGCACTCAGAAATTTTTCTCTCCCTACCTTGTAAACTAGATAAGGTAACAGTAAATCAGATTGCAATGAAGTTCTAGAAGAGTTTCTATCTCATATCACTAGGCAGGAACTGCTGGGTCAACTCAGAGAAGTCATACACAGGTGAGACACTAAGCTGTACCTGTGGAATCCAACCTGTCCTAGTCCTACCATTCATTTTATTTTTCAAAACTCGAGGAGTGTGGCAGGTGTGAGACAGGATTCCCAGTTTCCATTTGCTGGAACAGTGAATCCCCACTTTCCCATCCCACCACTTTGTACCTGTTGCAGTATGGTTTTATTGGTGCCCAGTTTATGTTGCTCAATACTCTTCCTCACATACATTTTTTCAGCTGGAGTTAAATCTTCTTTCATGAGAGCAAGCAGCTCTTTCAACTGCTCGTTTTCATTTCCTGAGCCAGCATGTAAACTGCACACAGATTTTATAGCATCCATTAGAATCACTGAAAATAACAGTGCTCTCAGGGTTCAGAGAACACCCAATATAGACAAATAATCATACTTTATACATAACACTGCTTTACAACAACGTGCTATCCCAAATCCAGCTGAGACAGACTAGGATAATACCTGTTTTAAAAGAGACCTTTATCCCACCAGCTCAGACCTCACCACCCTAACCAGAGACATACAGGCAGTAAATGACTTCTCCAAAGTACACATCTGATCTCAGAGTGGAGCAGAACTCAGCCTTTCATTTTTATACCATTTGATACCCTTGGTATGCTACTGACACCAAGGAATGGAAATCTAATCTTTATTCATCTTGAACTTGGCTCTCTCAGATGATGTTGGAAGTACAATGTGATTGCCTGCTTTTCAGTAGCTAAAGGACAAACCCCAGAACACTCTAGCAAAGATAACTTGGGTAAGTCATACAGAATTCATGAGTTGTTACCATTTATTCTCTAAACATGAAATTCATGGTTACTTCCTCCTAGTTCTGATCACTACAGCAGTAAATGTCTATTCAAGTCTTGTCTGTTTTGCTTTTCCTCCTTGTCTAAACTCCCAAATCTGTAACTGCCATTATTTTGTTCTCCTCTACTACCTTCCATGTGAAAGCATTAACTCTATTCAGCAAGAAGTGACACTCCTAAATCAAGGTAAAATTTCTCCACTGTGCAGGGGGGGAGAAAAAAAAAGCAGCCCTGAGATAGATATATTGCAATCAGATTTTTAATTACTCCAAAATAGTAATTTTACAGCATGCATGCTATCATGAATCTTAGAATTGCTTCAGACCCTCAAAGATTAAGACTCTTACCTATGGGGAAGAATTGCTTTGGTGATTTTCCTAATACTTCCCACTCTGATAAAATCCTCAAATCCAAGATCAAGTAGCCTTCAAAGAAAAAGAAGTGATAACACATTACAGAAGTGTAAAAAAGAAATGTTGAAAAATGTATAAGTGGCTCTAGAATGGCTAACAGACCCAGCAGAACACTAAAGGACAAAAAATCCTGTGATTAACCAAACTAATTAACTCAGGACACAATTCAAGTAATTCAAAGTAAATTACCTCATCATGATTTGTTACAAAAATGCTTCATGCTTTTACGATTCTCCTCTCATAAACAGTCTCCCATTTTTACTTTCTCTTCCTTTTATCCTTCCAAGCTATGAGTTGTATTTCAGGTTAGCTTCATGCTGAAGCTCCCACAGTATGAATCTGCTCCTCCCTCTCTCTCCATCCCTCCTTCCCCTGCCCCTACTGCTGCTTCCTGAGCAATCCTGCTGTCTGTCATGATGAATTTGAAGAGTAAATTAGATGTTGTAAGTGTTACACTGGAAATATCAACACATTTATCTTTACCATATGAGTCCATTACTGGTTTTGGAACAACAGCCTGTAAAAATCTCACTAACCTACCCCAGCAGTATCCTGTCAACAGCAACATTAGTGGAAGAAGCAATCAGAAGTTTCCAAGGAGTTGGCCTGGGACCCTCAGTAGCTTCACTGCTTTCAAAGAGTTGCACTAGGAACAAGATCACAATAGACAGCAGATAGCTCTTTCCAGCTCCAAAAACACCTGGGATTTTGGAAGAAAAAGACAAAGTTACAAGTGAATGTTTTCTAGGAAGTACAGTTTTAATCAACTGTTATAACTTCATCAGTTAATTTGGGTGTAGACCTTGCTAGGAAAGAACTCTACACTTCTGTAGGATCCTGCAAAAGGCAGGACACAAATCCAAGGATCAAAAGCTCCGTGCTAACAGAATGGATCTTGTAATGTCAAGGTCATTATCAGAGCAGCCACATCCAAGGAATGAATTTTCAGGAAATGCACCAGCAGGTGAGGCCAGTGTTAATAAAGAATTTAAAGGGATATTCCATACATAGAGGCAGTTTATTCAAGCTCAGCTTGTATGTGCACTACATTTAAATTAAGGCAACATGTACCTAGACATAAGAATCTCCCTTTAAGTCTGCCTGGACTGATAAGTAGATGATAAAAGGAAACAAGTCTGTTTCATCACAGACAGAATTTAGGGATATTTCACTAACACTGGCATCACACCTTAATTAGCATTTTTACAGATAAACAACAGCAGCAAAAATGTAATTTTTCATAAAAACAGCAATTATCTGCTATGTACCACATATGATTGTGATGGGGAAGATGTGATGTTCTTCCACTGGTTTGGTATTTTCACACGAGGTCATCATCTGAGCTATCTGAATCAGTGATGTAGCTTGATCTGGGTTCAAGGAGAATGTTTGGATCATCTTTTCAGCAAGTCCCATTGCCACTTCAGTGCTGACAGGCCCAGACACCATTGTCTGTTTCAGGCTGATGGCAGGTGGCATAAATTTTCTTTTGCTGACCCTTTTAGTAGCATTTTCAGAATCAAAATTCCTAAGGAGAACATGATGGTCAAAAGTTGTGGAGAGTAGATCAGTGACTGCACTACCAGCCTAATGGTCATAATAATTTTAAACTCTAGGAAAATGTGGGCTGCAGGTAAACTTTAAGAAAAAAAAATAACACAAGGAAAACTTATAATCAAGTTAGAATGAAGCAACAGATACATATTCATTTTCACATAATGAAAATTGCATTGTCAATGGTTCATTCCTTGTGCTGTTTTTCTCATTTTAATTTGCCTCATTCACTTTTTAACAGGTATTTTTGTTGGTTTTTTTCTGTACCTTTTTACATCTCTTGCACTCACAGTATCACTGGAACAGTAACTTACATTTTCAGGAGATATGGTATGAGTGGTAATGTTGCTGGAGTGAAGTGATCCTCCAGATTTCTTAAAGATGTAAGCTCACTGCTGGCATTGCAGACCAGCAAGGCATGAACACACACTGAAAAGGCCACAGAAAAATAAAAGTCAGGAAAAAATTCAATGGGCCAAAATTTCAGATCAGCTGGAGAAACAAATTACAAAATGCCATAAGGGTCATCAGCCTCCTATAATAGTACCCACATATCTCTCTTTTGCTGTTGTTGATCACTGCCAACAGCTAAACACCACTTCAAGATTTATTGTCATACAGCTTCAGGGTTTCATTTTGTAATGGTTGTAGAGTTATGAAATAATCTGTATTTATGTTCACAAAGAAAGTTTGCACCAAACATTTCATGTGAAAAAAGAAAATGCTTAATCATTTAAAAAAAATATAAAAATATATTAAAAATATATTAAAATAAAAATGCTTCATCAGCATTAAGTCTGAAAATCTGCACATGAACTCTTCCAGACCTTGATTGCTCAAGAGATTCAGTCATCTAATTCACACTCAGTCTTTCCCTCTCTAATTGTTTCCCACAATTCTGAATCCCTTGGTGTACAACTTACTATTTGATGGCCAGTTTGAGGGGGAGTAACCTTTCAGTGGTAGCAATTCTACTTCATTATTGGAGGATGGTCCAAAGAAAGCACTACTTGCAATGAAAGTATCAAGGGGATCAAAGTTCAGAGTCTTTGAAACAACCCAAATATCATCTGTCAAAAAAAAAATAAATACACAGAGAATATAAAGCTCACTACATTATTCCTGTACCATACAATGCAGAGCACAGAGAGGGAGATTTCAAAGTTATCATCAAGTTACCATCACGTTTTCCTTACCGTTCAACTATTTGAATACTGGGCTTTCCTGAAACATTACAATTCACAGATTTAACACACTGCAAATCCCAGGACATGAAAGTCATAATTTTCTAAGGTAGCTGAACATTTACAAGAATAATTAATGTTCATTAATTCATAGTTCATTGCCCTTCTAGAATGAGAACTGAATTATCAGGGTTGTCAGGAGTTTAAAAATAGGATTCCATTTTTCTCTTTATATTACAAATTACAACCTTGAAAAGGCAAATGACACAGACAATTCTTCTGATGCTTAAGGTTTACTTACCTTTGCTATAGAGAGAATAATGCTCCTTTCTGCTTAGTTTGAGGTATAATTTGCTTTTGGAATCACCATCAAAACTGGCAGGTGTATTCATAAATTTTCTGAACTTACTACACCGCTGTGTTTGCATTTCAAAGGCTTTCCTGTTAAATTGTAATTTTAAGAGAAAGTATCTAAGCCATTGGCACATCTTGGATTCACCACCAAAATCATGAAAGCTCCACAGACTGGACCAAATTACACAGCACAGATCTGGTGGTTGCTCATAACCATTACCCAGTTTGAGATACATTTAACTCGGCTGCAAAACATTTCCCCCGTATTCAGCCATAGTCGAATTGGTTCTCCTACAGTTAAGCAGCACAGAATAGTCCTTGATACAACTCTTGAACATTAAAATTAGAATCACTACGAGAATAAATCAAATTATCTTACCAAAAAATTAAATTAAGAGTAATTCAAATGCAAAAATCGTAAGGGATTTCATTAAGCAATCAACCAAGTTGCTGGTAAGCAGCTTAGATTCTTGCTGAAAGGAGTGCTGACCTGAAATCCCATTGCTGTGAATCTTATTCCTTCATTAATTTGGCTTTTACATTTCTCCACAGAAACTGCAGCCTCTTTAAGCAGTTAGTGAAAAGGTCTCATAAATGCTACTGAAATCCGGAACCACTGGAATATTTATCAATCCTGCCATTCACACAGGAGTTGTGAAAAGTGCATCATGTTTCAGAATACCTCACCAAAAGCTGGCATTCCTCATAGAGAGAAATCTTTTGACTTCTGAGGTACGTCCCAATGCTTTTTACATCATGAAGCACTGCACTAGGCCTGGATTTTAGCTGTGTGGGGTTCACATCTTCTATCCACTTGAAAAACGAACACTGCTCAGCTTTGGGGGCGTCACAGGCATAGAACAAACGGCCCTAGGAAGGGAGGAGGGAAAGAAAACAAACAACAACAAAGATCATTAGTATCTCAAAAGAAATAAGGAAAAAAACCCAAACACGTTCAGCAATGGATGAGTACTTGCTGCTATAGAAATAGTCAGATGAACATCTATGTTTTCACTGTGTTTGGCTGTAAAAGCACAGGTGTGTTCCCAGAACTCCCAGCTTCTGAAGCCAGTGTGTCTAATTGCACCTTACAGAAATCCTAGGAATTTATAAATTCAGGTCTTTCCCTCTACATACATGAAGCTGTTTCTGCCTGGAGAAAACTATTGCATCAACAATTCTGGAGACTTGGGTTACTACAACTGATCTTAAGTGATCTCTGTAAAGGAGATCCCACTTTCCATGGTAAATCACACAGAATTTCCCCATAGTTGTTTGCACAATATAGTCTGTGACCAAACAAACACCCCAACCTGTAAACAAACAAGGAATAAACAGCACCTTGTTTTGACCTTCTTTTTTAACCATAACAAGCTTAGCAGGATGCCTGTGGTTGCAGAGTGGGCCACTGCTTGCTTTGCTCTCACTTTGCCCATCTTTCAATGCAGTGTAAAATGATATATCCACTTTGGAAAGAGCGTTGTGTAATCTTTGTGACAACTCAAATAGCATTATGTTTAATTGCTCTTGACATGGAAAGGAGAATAAAAGAATCATTAGTACAGCCTTAAAATGGTTACACAAGTGCAGAGCATCCAAACAAATGCATTTTCATTTGAAACATTAAATCCCAAATCAAAATATTGAATGAGTCCTAAAGGAAATGACGTGACCTGCAAAATTCACATATTGCACATGCAATTCATTTGTTCTAGTTTGTTACCTTCAAATCACATTTAAGTATGTGACCCCAAATGATCCAAACACTAAATAACTGTGTAAAAAAAACCCAACCAACCCCTTAAATAGGAATTTAAAGACTGGTAAACAGAAAAAAAAAAAAAGATACTAAGTTGAACAGAAGTGTTTTGGTTTGCCTTTGCAATCTTGGGTATAGACTGAATATATACCCAAAACCAAATCCACACATGCTTGTTCCAATAGATGATGTTGATGATCTCTCTCCTTCTCACCCTGCTTTGTGAAGCTTCAGGATTGCACTGTTTAAAAATTAAGGGATTTTACACAGCACTGTGTTAAACACACCTGTCAGAGCAGCTGTAAAAACCTGCTTGTAGTGAACATGAGACTGAAACACAGTTGGTATGGAAACCTTCCTTTGAGGAAGGGCAGCATGTTTTACTTTATCCACATTTGGAAAAGACAACTCAGAAATCCTTATGTTCTAAAAAACAGAAAAACAAAGCATTAAAACATGCACAAGTCTGAATGGGACAAATGCTGATAAATGGCAATGGCTACTGTACAGAGAAGACAAAATCGACCCACTTTTCTTCTCTTTATCATTCTTTGCTTTTATATACTGTGCCCTCATTAATACGAACAACCACACAGAAAAAATTCAAGGCCTCATTCTTCACCCAGAAATTTCAAGGTGAAGATATTTCAATGAAGACTTAATTTTCTAAAAACAAAATAGAAATCCCCTTCACCACAAATATTTGCAGCCTCTATTAACAGTAAGTACAGGAGCACATATTCAACAGGACTACCAAGAGGAGTAAAATTAACTACCAACAGCTTTTATTTTATCTTCCTGCCATCAATATTCAGCTTTAAAAATCTAACACTGGCACTATGTGTGCCAAGGAATTACCCTTACAAAGGATCAGTCAATGGCACTTCAAAAAAATACATAGCAGCTGCAGTTCTGTAGCTGAGATTCTGGTGCGTTACTATGTAGGGAGAAACATTTCAGCCCACACTACTGATAATATCTTGCAGGAAATCAGATAAATGCAGTTAGTTTGTCCAGAGAAAATGTGTTTCTGTCACTTTTAACTGTATTTGCTTGAACAGTTACACACCTGGCTGTCTCTTGTTACAGTGTGGCAGCTCAGATGACTTAACACCTTTTGTGTTGCTTCAGCTAAAGGCGTCTGACTTGAGTGCAGAGAAAGTAACTTCCTCTCTGAAAACAGATCTTGGCTGCTGGTGTTTGCACAGCCTTCCCCAGGCGTGCTCTCTGCTGTCAGGAGAGGTGCAGGGTCTGGAGCACTGCTATTCATAGTGCTGCTCTCTCTGTCACCCAGCAGCATTCCAAGGACCTTCTCAGCACAGATGTCATCAGTCACTTCCCCATCATCGCTGTTTTGAGCTATCAAGTCACACTGAGCACTGTTTTGATATTTTAGCCACTTGCTTTGTCTATATTGTGAAGGCACATTAGGGAGCACTGGTTGGACAGATTCCCTTTGTCTGTCTTCTGTACACTCTCCAAACACAGAGGTTTCATAATTTCTGTCCTGAGGGCCAAAAGCAATAGGAAATACCACTGACTTGTTGCCTAAATGGACTACTGAGGAGCTGAAGGACTGCTGGACCTCCTTGTTGTCAGGTGGACAAACTGCATCAGGAAGAGTGACAAATGGAGTCCGTGGTCTAACTGGGGCCTTGCATCTGGAGAGGTTGCATTCCTCTGGATAGCTGGATTTCTCCTGGCCTGCAGGGCAAATACATCTTACAAGCAACTTGTAGCACTTACAGATGGCACATTAACTTCAGATGTACGAAAAACATTAAGGAAAGAATCCCAAGTTCATCCTTTTACATCCTGTCTTGTAAGCAACAAGCTCTTTCTACCATACCCGTGCAGCACCACCTGAAATTGCCACACAACATGAGTGATTTCAACTATGATTCTTTTAATACTTAGATCCCTATATTCAGGACACATTTCTGTAGGCACTCTATTTGTAGAAAAGAAAATGTCTGTGTTTTGGAGGTTACCACTTTGAAATTATTGGCAGGTCAGTGAGAGCTGCCAACTGCAAAACAGCCAGCTTAAGGTTTGCTCCTTTTTCCAAAAAGATCACCCACAGAAGTGTATAAATTAATATTAACCAGTATCAATAAACAGGCCTTCTAGTACCACAGCCATCCTTTCAACTAAATTCACTATCAGGAAGAAATTGCAGTCACTGAGATGTGACAACTGGAAATGGGGGAGAGGACAGCTAAACATGGCAGACAACTAAAAGCAGGAAAATAAATGAAACATGAATATGAATTAGAACCTTAGCATACAGGCTTTTTTCCTCCAAAACTAGAAGCTGATTTGTCTTTATAAAATTAAATCACTCTACTGAAGCCTCTTTCAAGTGAATATAATTGGGGAGGAGGGATGGAATTCAAGTCTTAATTCAGCTGATTTGGAAAACACTGTTTAAAATCATGCTTAAAACAAGCAGCACACCCCTCTGTCAAAAACATGTGACAAACACAAATTAAACTCTGTAGTTACCCAGACATATCTCAGTGTATCTCAGTGCCCAGGTTAACTGTCTGTTATATATTGCAACTCACTGTGCTTCAAAAATCCTCAGAGATTTTCCAGCAAAAAAACATATTGCAAAGTGCAATTAGAAACTACAATTTCTTACTGAAAAACAATTCTGAAAGTTCTGGTTCACTTGGCAAGATCCTGTGTATCAGGGGCTCCTGGATGTCTCCAATGGTTTCCTCACTTCCTGAAGCTGGAGAAACGGTAGAGTCTGGATCAAGTGAGGAAGTCAGTCCTACTGAAGAAATCATCTATAGATAAAGAATTAATATGTCAAGCAAAGGACTGGAAAAAATCCAACTTCACTATAGCTCTTTTGTCACTGTTCATCGTTCTAAACAATTGACATAACTCTCAGAGTTGAGACAAAACAGTGGCAAAAATAAGAAATTGCTACCACCAACATCCAGGAAAAAAAGCCAAAAAAGATCTAGAATAGACAGTCAATTCCCACCTTGTCAGATTCCCATGAATTGCACTGCATTTGTCTCAAATTGGCATGTGAAGGGGAGCCTGACATTGCCCATGGAGGAACTCCAGAATAAACATTCGATGCCAGTGCTAGGAAAAATACAGATAGGACAGAAGTCAGGCAGGATAATTGTTCTGAGGCCAATCACTGCCATTTTATATTTACTTTCACTTACAGGACTGATCTATTCTTGCCTCTCTAGTAATGCTGAACTGGTTTTGAAAATCTTCTCTGACAAAGTTGGTGTCATCCTCATGAAGACTTCTTGAATCTGGAGACTTAAGCAAAAAAGTAGAAGCAAAAACTTGTTAGAAATTGAACTGTTTATCCTGTCTCTATATACTACCTTTCCATGAATCTTCTTTCTAAATATTATTTTTAGATATATTTCTTCAGTATCTCTAGCCTATTCATGAATTAAAAAATGAAATATAATTTTTGTTCTATTATTATAAATATTGAAATATATACTGCATCAGAAAAAGAAAATATTTAATGTTGCATGTCATATTTCTTTGCAGCCAGGAGAACAGAATCATAAAGTAAGGAAGTTTTAACCCTTGCTTAGGAACTCTCTAACACATTTATACCAATTTTCAAATCCAGTTGAGGTGAGTATTATACTGCTAACACCAAAAAACAGTCATTATAAAAGCCCTTTGCCACTTTTCCCTACAAGAAATCTGTTTCATTTCACACATTATGACAATGTACATTTTTCAAAGTGAAACTGTTCAGAGGGAATAAAAAGAAAACAAGTTACAACTTGCCAATGCATAGTCCTGTGGCAAAGATGAGTAAAAATAATTGTCTAACTGCAAAGTTTTAACCACAAAGCCCTGATCAGTTCTTCGTGATTTTCATTTGACTGTAGCATTCTCCTTTGTCCTAAATTTACAGGATACTCCTTGCACTGAGGTTAGAAAGAATAATTATTTTTAAAAAATGGTTTACCTGTCTGAAGTCAGAAAGGACATAACTACTTGAAAACAGAGGTGAGGGAAGTCCCTGAGCTGCAAACTCAGTATTATCTGGGTACTGCTGCCATCCCAGCTGTGAGGAGGGAGCTCTCCACATCATCTCACTAGCTGCTGATCCCTTCACTTGGTGCCCTTGAAATGCAACAGGCTACACAATACATTGGAATTATTATTAGCTGAAAAGGAGCACTGCTCTGGACCCACCTACAGTCAATAAGGGTACTTTCCATACATACAAACCCAATAAGCTGTTGCAATTGTAGAAAAGGAGAAAAATAACCTATGCTTTGCCTTTCTCTTGCCCTCCTGCAAGCAATACAGTTTTTGCTGTCTCTGTCAACAGACAACTGATATTCTGATAGGGCATGTTTAGTCTTTTCTTTATATACTGTAACATTTGAGCTTAACACTCTCAGTGGAAAACCTCCCACAGCCCAATGTACTAAAATGTTATGAGAAGCCCATTGTGAGCCTGGTTTAATATTTATTAGGACTTCTTGTAATATACTGCAAATTGAATTTGAAATATATCCCAACTGGAGTGAAGAAACACTATTGATTATCCCCCAGTTCCACAGAAACTGTACCTTTGGATGGCAGTCAGATGTCCTAGGGTCTCTTTGGGCCACTGCTAGTGGTAGAATGCATGCCTCTGTTTTTGGTAAGAAATTGTCTTCACAGTTGGGCTACATATAAAAGTATCAAAAGCTAATTTATCTAATGGTTTAATAACCATTTGAAGTGAAAACTTAAGCTAAAAAAATCTATTTATATAAGTGAAAGCATTTTATATTACAGTCTTTTTATCTGGAAGCCAGGACAATCCATGACAGGATAAGAAACTATGTTTGCTTTTCAAGTGGGACAGGGGAAAGAGAAGAATTTAATAAAAATTAAAAAGAAATCTTCCAGTTTGGATGAAAGAAAATGACTAGTAATAGCACTGGACAAAAATCAATGTGAAACATCAAGTACAAACAGATTTGCCAGTATATTCCAACTCAAATGCTAAAACTCCTAGGAAAGCTCTGTACTGAAAAAGATAGTAAAAGAAAAGAAAAAATAGATGGTAAAAGAAGATGGTGCAGTGAAGAAGCACCAGACATATTTAATGTGATAATAAATGTAACCAAGTCTTGCAAACTGCATTAAGTTTCTTGCTGTACTTTTAGCCTCCTGAACATTTACTGGCACTAAGGTAGGCAAGAGGACATCTTCTGTGTGCCATTAGCTTCTCAGTTGATGCCTCTAAACAACTTCTAGCTCAACCTCCATAGGTCATAAACTAGGAATTTTTTTTTCAAGAAGCCTGGAAAAATGAATTTATCTTGTACAGACAGAGATATGTAGTTAAAAATTGGTTACCATAAGGCCAGGAGAATCAAAGTATGAACAGGAAGATGCCTGTATACTTTCTGAGTAAGGCATTTCTGTAAACTGTTTTATAGCTACAAGAGATGGAAAAGCATAATAAGTTACAGTGATTCTTTTAACATGAAAACATCTGAGTATTTACTGGGATTGCAAATAATTGCAGAGTTATGATTTAAATGAACTAAAGCAAACAAAAGCAACAGACTTGGAGCCCACGTTGTTGCTTTAAACATTAAAAACTGCACAACACATGACTCCAAAAGTATGATTCCTGAATATGAAGTGTCCAGCAAAAGAGACAGGGGTACAGAGGTCAAATAGCTTCAGTCATACAGAATTCAATTTAAAATAGAAGCTGACCTCACCTTCATCTTGCACAACAGGCTCAAATATCTTTTTAGGAGTGTCTGCTCCAGAGAATATGCTATCATTTTCCTTCATCTTCTGTAAGCTTTCTAATGCTGTGCTATGTTGAGTCAAAGCTCTCAGAAGAGCAAGATTTTTTATCTCATCAGGAAGATCTGATACATTTTCAGCCACTGTCCTAGACTTCAGGCATTCCATTCCTATTCTTTCACCTTTGCAGGCTTCACCAAAGGCATTTATGCTCTCTCCATTTTCAAACTCAGTTTCACCTATCACTGTTTCCTCTGGAAATTGATGGCCTTTTCCTAAAGGGTGGACAGAACTTCTGGAAATAAGAGTACCTTCCTTACTTGAAATGACAAATTCCTTTTGATGGTCATCTCCAATGTATTGGAATGAACCACAGCTGGACTCTGATTTTTGTGACAAATCCAGCAAAGGACTACCTGGTTTAATGTCACTTTTAGCGCTCCAGAAGTGTTCTAAGTCAGCATCTGGGCATTTAATGCATCCAAGCTCTGTAACATCTTCTTCAGTCCTTCTGTCCATTGCAGAAACTACTGTGCTGGCAGAAACACATGAAATAGTTCCAGTTTCCTCAAACATACTGGCTTTAGGGTGACAGTCATTAACATTCATGTCACCAGGCAGATCAGACATGCCAATGATCATATGTGCTGCACAGCCATCAAGGTCCTTCTTATTGTTTGTGGCTTCATTACTTAATTGACTTTCATTCATCTCTTTTACCTTGTGTCCATCACCCAGAAGTTCCACTTCCATTCTGCTCTGGTTTGCCAAGTCTCCTCCAATTCTCCCTGTACCTCTGAGTTTGTTGTCACAAAATTCAGTGATTCTCCTGGTGAAGTGATTTCCATCATTCTCTGTGTCAAATGCTGAGCATTTGACTTCTTCATTTTTACAGTCTGTCACCATTTCATAGCAGGAACGAAGTCTCAAAGCAGCATCTTGTGCTGCATCCTCTTCCTTTAAGCAATCTGGGCTTTGTGAAAGCACATCTCCTTCAGTGAGCTTATTCACATCCCTTTCACACAGGTTTGGATTGTCTGCTTCATCAAAATCAAAAGCTGCCATTAGGTTGAAGTTAACCTCCATCACTGGTTCATCTGGACCACAGTCTTGGCCACTTGTACTTAATCCCTCCTTTGCAACTCCAGTTTTGGTCACCGTCATATCCACAGAGAGCTCTGGGTCACTAGGGGCTCCTTCTGAATTTTGTCTTGGCTGGAGCTCCCTTTGCAACACCAAAGATGAATTCTCCTTCAGACCATTAGTCACTGACTGCTCCCTGTCCCTGGAGATAGTTTTTTCAAAGCTCACTGGACTTGCTAAAGGCAAAATGTCACCTGAGGATGGGAGAAACTGACTGTCGCTTAGTCTATTGATAGTGGATTCAGCTAAGCAGCAATTATTTGTATTAGAGGGATCTTGTAAGTCTTGACTTAGATGATTTGCCTTTTTGTCATCTCTCCCCCACGTGACTTCTTCTTCACAAGGTTGTTCAGCTGAATTCAGCAGCATTTCAGGGTTCCATTCCTTTTTGTCACTTACAGTTTGCTCCATAGAAGGCAAGTGCTGAGTATTTTGAACGAGTTTTTCAGCAGGGTTGCCTGAAAAAGCAGGTAGGATTGTGCTGCTTTGGTTATGTGGTGAACTTTCTGCATATTCTGATGCCTGAGAACTAGAATGACATTCTGTGATGTCAGACATGGCTTGCTCTCTGCAGCTTGGTGCTGGTTTAGCCTTCAAAAGAGCTATTATCTGTGCTGTGCTCCTGATGTTGCGTGACACTGCCTGGTAACCACCAGGCTGGGCATCCCCAGCAATCAGAGATTCTGGCTTCACAGTGGACCAGGGGGAGTTTGGCTTCTCTGTTGCCTGACATCTGTCAAGAAACTGAGCTGAAAGCAGTGAGGAGACAGATCTGTGTTCTCCATCATCATCCACACATGCACCTCCTTGGGAGTCTGCAGATAGATTTGTTGCTGCATCCTTCCTGCCAACCGTAGAAAATAAGGGAGAGGTAACATAAAACTTGGATGGGAAAGTACCCTGACACTGCTCAGATACAGGCAGTATTGGTGCTTTCTCTCCATATTCCACTGCTGGTATTTTCTTCTCAACTTGGCGTGGCCCTTGGAAGCCCTAGGAGAGAAATTTTGAATTAATTCCACTCAGAAATGAACACAGTTTTGTAATCAAGTGCTGAACGTAGGGCACACTCCATAAAACAGATTCTGATCAAGTAGCACGTGATGATTCCAACAGGTATAGAGAAATAACCTCAAGCCCTTGTGATTTTCAATAGCAATAGCAATCCTGCTAAACCAAACAGATTTAGTAAACACTGGAAAAAACAGCTACCAGTAACATGTTCTGGCTTACAGTAACAAAACACCAGGAAGATCCCTTCCTGGAAGTGTTCAGGGCCAGGCTGGATGGGGCTTTGAGAAATTTGGTCTAGTGGGAGGTGTCCCTGTCCAGGCAGGGGGGTTGGAACTAGATGATCTTCAAGGTCCCTTCCCAAACCACTCTAGGATTCTGTCAAGACGTTATCCATATATTTACCATTCATTAAAAAATGTGTCCTGGATGTTTTAAAATGCATGTTACCATCAGACATAACTCTTGAAACAAAGACATACTCTAAACTTCCTTTTCAGGCCAACAGACAGATGTCTTGGAGGCAGAACCCCAGGTTTTACACCATTTCTCTCTGCTGCTGGAGTTCCTGCTTTCCCTAGCTGATCCTCACAAGATGCCTCATTCACTTTAACTGCTTCAACTGTGATCAAATATCGTTCACTTTCTAAATAATCTCCAGCATTCACCTAGAAAAGAGAAAGCAGCAGCATGGACAGACTAGTGCTTTAAAAGAAACAGTAACAGTCTGCTAAATAAATACAGTCTTCTAAATGTTTGTATGTAAAACATTTCAGAAATGTACACCCAGTATATCACAGCTGCCATAAAAACACTTAGATTAAAATAAATGCATGCTAGAAACCACTGGCACTTAGCTACAAGTGATGCTTATTTAATGTATCACTGTAATACACAGATTTTACCCAAAAGGAATATAGCTCCCTAAAGCCTCTACATTGGTTCTTGACAAGACTTATCAATAAATAGAAGCTGGTTTTATTTTCCATTACTTGCATTGTGGAAGACTTTGCTATCCACAATAAAACAAAGTACTACCTTGACAAGATTTTGAAATGCTTCCTGAAACACAAGCCATAACCAAGGACAAAAACAAACAACAAAAAACAAAACGTACCTGAGATTTTATAAAAACACTCTCCAAGCATTGTCCTTTATCATCAAACAAGACAGCCTGTAAAGAGCATTTTAAAGAACTTATTTTATTGCACAGATCAACTGGACTTGCACTGAAAGTCCAGCAGCAGCAGGTGACATGAAGACCAAAGGAATTAGGTCTGAGTTGCTCACCTTATTTCTGCCAGTTCCAATCCTCAGAATTCCATCCTGCCATGTTTTTGATTTTTTCATCTTTTGGTGAGTGTATAATACCTGTTTTAAATGTTGAAACAGTAGGAAAATATTTAAATAGCAGAGCAGCTACAGGGTATTTAAATGAATTCCTACTTAACTGTGCAAAGTGTTACTTACAGTAAATTCTTGAGAGGCCATTGCTTTGACAAAGCAGTCACCCAACAACTTATGGAAGAAATATTCACATCTTCATACAGCCTGAGAGACAAGGAAACGTTCAGAATCTACCAGAGCTGTGAAGGAAATGAATTGACTAAACAACACATGTCAGTTCACTTCCCCCTTTCCTCCCCAAAAAAAGAAGAGAGCAAGATGCAAAACAATATGAAAACAGTGGGGTAGAGCTGATGTGGGTTTTTAAAAGAGGAAACCTTGAAAATAATATAAATAAATAAAAATACTGGTAAAAAAGGTTTGGTTTTTTTAATAGATGCCAATATATTTTCTGATTTTCAGGGGAATATATGTGCATTAATTGAAGTGAATGGCTGGCAACTGTGAAAACTCCAGTGATTGTACTGCTGTGCAGAATTAACAAATTAACCTAACTATGTTTGCTGGCAGGAAAAAAAAAAAAACACAGCAGTTATTAACAGAACAACTTGTTGCAAGGTTATTGAGTCTGGACTTAGCCATGCATGCCTAGCTCATGCAAAAGATAAACTGTCAAAACCAGTGCCCTGTGAAGTCTCTTCACATATTTGAAGTCAGAGCACAACTTTTAAAACAGCCGTTGGTGATGAAAACAGGAACAAACAATGAGAAAAGCAACACAGCTCTGACCCACTGCTGTACATACCGGCTTCTTAGCTCAACACTGCGATTTGCATCTCCCTTTGGAGAGCTCCTCTACTGCCACCTGTTAACAGCTCTGCGAGGGAAAGGACGGCAGGAGACAAGGGAAGCCCGGCAGCTCCTCGAACGCTGTGGGTTCGAGAGAAACAGTTGATATCAAGAAGGAAGATTCATACTGTTTCTTACAGCTGCCACTTCCCTGACAGTCCCTGGGTGTGAAACCTTGGAAATTGACAGTCTTTACTGGACACAGAGTTACTCCTTTGGCTGTGAGAAGCAGCTGAATGAAGGCAAACGCTTCCTCTAACACCCGGGAATGCCACGGGAGCAGGGATGAGCAGGAACGCTGCTCGCACACGCTCACACAGCACATTCTCCACACACACACAGAGCCTGGGACAGGCTGCCCAGGGAGGC